CCCAGGAGGCTGCAAGGCTCAGATCCTCGGCTTCTGCTCAGTCCTGACAGCGTTTCTGAGGTTAGTCCTGCGGGGCACTGTCTGCCCGCCGTGGCAAGCTGCAGCGAGGACGCCGAGAGCCTCGCTTGGCTGGGGAGGGGATGGAAATGCTGCTCTGCTCTGAATATTCTCAGCTGCCGAGCAGCAGCTTCCACCAACCACAGCAGCTACCCTAAAATAGGAGACTAAAACAGGAGGCCTGCCAGGCTCAGATGAGAACGGGGTGTTGAGCCACCTTTGTTCCACTTGCGCGTATTAGTGGCTTTGAAGGGATAGGCAATGGGGACATTGCCTTGTAAAAGGGGTTACTTAGGAGAAACAGCAAGAAAAATCAAACCAATCCTTTTTCTACCACCCTGAGAAGAAACTGTAGACAGGAAAGAGGCTGTTCCTAGTAAAGGAAGTTAACTCTGAAATGGTCTGTTATAAACTGAAAGATCCTCTGGATAAGCCTGTGAAGCTGATATAGCTCAGCCATTCTTCACAGGAGATGTAATAATTTCCTAGATGTTTCTTCCTAAAGATGCTACAGATAAAGACACAAATTCCTTCCACACTTTTTGAAGATCACAGATACTCATTTATTGCAAAATAAGCTTTGCAGAAAGTATAGGCCCTGGTGAGGTGACCTACAAAGCTGTCAAAGGGAATGAATCCTGCCCCTTCTGAGAGGACTACTTAATTAAAAGGACTACTTAATTAAGCCCTGCTTAATTAAAAGCTCCAAAGGAGTCAGTCACAGAGCTTGGATTTGGCATATAAAGACAAGTAAGAAGATTTGGTGGAGAAAATATACATATTTTTCAAGGAATTCAAAATCTTGCTCTCATGGATGCAGTATGCTGGTAGGAGATCAAAAATGAATCCTTGAATTGTAACATTTTACAATAACTACATGTGTAAAGCAATCTGAGTCCATCTACTTGATGCTTTTTACTCGGCTCTTGTAAGCATGCATCTTGTTTCAAAGTATTATGTTTTTTTAACAGAGCTGTTTTGTTCTGTCTTTATTGCCATGCTTCTTTATAGTACAAATCTGACTAGGAACACAACTGAAGGTAATGCCACGTGCAAGCTATGACATGGTACCTCATTAACATTATTTGCAACAAATATTACATCGCGTGCTGGATGTAATAGACATTCGAAGGAAGTTTCAATGAAGTGCCTGCAGTTGTATTTTTCCATTTATTCATATCACTCAGATAATTTGTATGAAACCTACACAACCCCATAATTAAGTTCTGTCACAACTGTACCTGATTTTGCGTTCTCCATTTGTCTGTCTAAGGACAAAAGAGTTGTTCATAAACTGAAGGCAGTATTGTATGTGACTAATATGTTTGTTATTTAATTTAGCCAACAGCGGTGACGATACAGATGAGAAGGAAACAAACTCGAAAGAATCTGGTTTGCCATGTTCTGAGAAAACAGCAAATGCTTCCAATTTGGCATCTCAGTTTAGGAAGAATGACCAGGAGGAGATTATGGTTGACTCTTTAGGACCACCTCTACAGGAGCAACCTGAAAATTTAGCTTTTCCAGTTGGTGTAGCTGAAACAAATCACCTCATGGGCTATCAGGACAATGATCTTTCTGATGCAACTGTCCCTCTAATGCAGGACTCTGATTTTGATCTTTCCCCAGAAAAAACATGTGACAAAAACTGTGTAGGTGATAAAAACAAAGATGATACAGAAGGGACTAGGGAAGAGAAATTAACTCTTGTGGGGAATTCCCTTTGTCAAAAAGTAGAGATGGAAAACCACAAATGTGACAACGTCAAGAAAAGCACTGTAGCACCTCTTTCTTCGACGGATATTTCTTCTACTATTTGCTCTGATGCTCCTGATTTGCACTCCACTTTCACCACGCAAGACAGCGACATTTCTCGTCTTATAAATGAAGTTTCTCTAGCGAACGAGAGTGAGATGGATAGCGCTGTCTCAGCCCTCATTGGACAGCTTGATGTCACAGATGACCGAGCTAATCTTACCGTGGTGTCAAGCCTCCATGGCACGAGCAGTCAGACCCTCAGTATGATGGCTACACACCCACACGCGCTCCCTGTGAACCTTAACAGTCCCTGTAAGCACCACTTGACTACCACAAAATCCATCAGGTCCCCTTTATTCTCAACTCCAGATACTACCATGTTCTCCAGCCCCGAGACTGCGGAATATTCTGTGTACACAATTATCCGTGAGGCAACTCTTACACCAGCTTCTAAATGTAAGACCCACAGTGAATTGGTTTGCAAGAAAACGTTAAATGGTATAGGAAATAATTCTCCTAGCTCTCCTTGTCCTTCTCCTCTCTCTTTGCTAAATGCAAATCCCCAAAGAAAATGCGGAACACAATCTGGAACAAGCTGGGAAGCCCCCAAGTCTGCCAGTTCCTTTGCTTCCAATAGCCTCATCTTTGAGGAGATGCTTGTTGACCCTCTCGCCGGTGAAAATTCAGAAAGCAGCAGCCTTGTAGAAGTGGATGGGGATTCTCAAGATCTCTTGGTAACTGCCTGTGAGTACAGGAGGGAAGACGTGAGCCAGTTGGCTTCCCCTTTGAAGCTGAGGCAAAAGCAGGACGCTGGGCGTGGTGGCGAGAAGACCTTTGGGAATAGTGTTGAGCTCTGTGGGGCCTCCCTGGGTTGCTCGGGTGACTTCAGGACTGCGGGGAGTCAGCTCCCTTTCCCAGCATGTGAAAACGTTGGCTTTTTGTACCATCATCATTCAGATAAGCAGAAAAATGTGATGTGTACGTCCGAGAGATCCCAGCTGAGCGGACACTCGCCGGCGCTCAAAAACGCTTTGGCTTTCCCGCCCCATTCAGCCATCAAGCAGACGAGCCCTTGCAAATCCAAGAGTCTTGGTGACTTGACCTCAGAGGATATTTCCTGCAATTTTGAAAGTAAGTATCAGTACATAAGTAGGAGCTTTATCTCCTCAGGCATGAGAGACAAGAAACTTGCTGCTATGAAGAATATGAGACCACACTCTACGGATGCTCTGACGGAGCAGCTGAGGAAGCTGGTGTCCCTGGACCAGGAGGAGAGCTGTCAAATGCTGTACTCCAGGCAGCTTGATGAAGACTGCCCAAAAGCGTTGGTGAGAAAACTCTCATCCAGAAGCCAGAGCAGGGTGCGGAATATCGCCAGCCGTGCCAAGGAGAGGCAGGAGGCTGCCAGCAAGCAAAAATCTTCAAATCCCGGTAGCATAGCGGGGGTCGTCCTTCGGAACAAGCCCTCGGCATCTCCTCACGTTATCAACAGGCACTCAACAGGCTCCTACATAGCCAGGTACCTGAATGGCTTCCCCGGGGAGGATGTGGAGGGCCGAGGAATACCGGAGGGCGCGTGCACCGCTTTGCACTACGGCTGTAGCGACCAGTTGTATACGCACGATTCTGTTCTGCAGCTGGGACCTAACAGTGATGATAAGCCTGAAATTTATTTCCTGCTGAGACTGTAGATTGTGTAAATGTACCTCTTTGAAGTTTACAAACTATTTCATGGAAATGAAGGATTTTTAGCAAGAAACATTGTTTTGAAGGTTTAAATTATTTAGAAATGCAATTTCATGCTAGTGATTCAGTCATGATTTAACGTGCCCTTTCCTGTCAAAGCTTATGTAAATAGAAACCCTGCTCCATCCTTATGTATTACTTTGATTTAGAAGTTATAAAGTGGTCTGGGGACTATTTGCATGCCGTAAGCATTCGTAGCATTTTGGTTTTGTAATGCATGTTGTTTTTAAGTTGAGCACATGTGCTCAAAAGCTGAACGTTGGAATGAATGCAGCAGTATTCTGGTTTCCTCATGTCCTGTCCTACTGTTTGGAAAAACATTTTTAGTGATGACTTTTGGCCTTCCGTGCAAATTCTGAGCATAGTGCTGCTGTTCTTGGGCTTGGACTGCTGACCTAGGACTCGTTCTGCCCAACAAGCAGCAGCCTCGGGATGAGACCCTTCATGAGCATCACTGCTTTCACTCTGACCTGTACATCATCGTTAATATTAATTTTACATGTTTCCATGTTTGAACTCTACAGCACACAATTTGTGGAATTAGGGTTAGTCCAACTTTGTGAGTAATGTGTAGATTTGTCTTCTGCCTGCTCTCTGAAGTGTAGTAACGGCCGTCTTCCCTTTTGGTCACCGTGTTGAATGCTTATTTTGGGACAGAGTGGAATGTGGGAGTAATTCTGCATTTATGAGTGGAAAACACTTAATTTCTGCATATTTGCTTATGTGTTTTTGTTACTGGTTGTGTGTAGCTTCAGTAATGTAGCAGATCTGTTTTCTGTATATTTGTAATTTTACTGCTAAATTGTTGGCAGTCAGTGGAATGTTTGAAGTTGATGTGGTAGCGTGTTTATTTGGACTGTCCATGTTTATCTTTTTCTATGAAGGCTGAAAGTGAATTGGGTGAGTGATCTCGACCTCCCGAAGCTTCCCTGTAGGGAACGACGTTGCTTTATTTTGGTTTTAAGGTATTCTTTGCCTTGCTGTAATTTTTTTTTTTTTCTGATATGTAAGAGACATACCTTTTACCTCTTTCTTTTGTAATGCAGAGTATTATTCTTGAAAACATCATTAAAATAGATTTTTAAGCACTTGGTTACATGTTTACTGAAACTGTAGCAAGTACAATTATGCTTAGCCTAACAGTAGCTTGTGATTTCAGACATGTCTTGTTATGAGCTTCCAGTAAGGTTTCGGAAAGGGAAAAAATTTCGTGATTTCGCATGATGTTGGTGGTTCTTAGCTAGAAATCTGCAGCTGAGCTCCTTCCCTTTTCTGGATAGAAAGCCATATTTATTGAGCAAATGCCTTTGTATTCCCATTTTGTTCCATTAGGGGTCTAACAGATGGAGCTGGCTGCTCTTTTAGTTGCTTGGGAGAGAACAGTGTCTTTTATAAATAAAAAGCGTTTCTCCATGGAGAACCAGATGCAGGATTAACCCCTTCAGCCTTGGACCTGAATGTCTGTCTTGGAACTTGTGATACAATTTGGAAGGTGCAGTTGAAACCATCTCGAACTTCAGGGAAGTTCAGAAGCTCTGTCCTTGCAGTGTCTGAACTTTCCTGAGGGAGAGATGCCTCTGGCTTTCGACTTGCCCGTAGCTTGTCTGCTGTGGTAGTTTAGAGACTGTTTCCAAGGGAAGGAGTGGGTGTGCGCAGGCTGCCGTCGGCTCTGCTGAACGCTGTGTGCCGCAGGTGCTCGCGCACTGTGCCCGGGTAAGCTCACTTGTGTTAGTGGAACCCAATTCTTTAGGAGTAACTGCCATTAATAGTGCCTTGTAATTAACCATGTGATAGGATCTCCATCGCAGGAGATGAAAAACTAATCTTGACCTGAAGGTTGTTTCTAGCTTTAATTGGAATTAATTTAGAAAAAAATTGTGTGGTGTGTGCAGGAGGTTAGAGTAGATTATTACAGTGGTCTCGTATGATGTAATCTCTTATACTTTCCTCTTAATTTTAGAAGTTAATTCTCCTAAATTAACAAAAAGAACTGTGACAGTTCTTTTATGTGAAAATGAAATTTGACCAGTAAAACAGGGCAGGGTTTCTGTAGTGTAGACTCAAGCCAAAGGAAGATCTGGCTCGGTGGCTTTTCCTGTCTCACTGGGCTTCGTGGTTTGGTTTTGGTTTGCACAAGTTGCTTTTTGGTGGTGTAGCACAGGGGTGTGCCAAAACCGTCTAACCTCTCTGTGCTGGAATGCTCGGAGCCTGGAGTATGAGGGGTGTTCAGAGGTCTTGCTGTGATCTAGCACGGGTGAGAAGGGAGGGAGTACTTGTGCATTCATTTCTGTTCTTGAGGAATCTGCAGGGCAGTTTGTGGGCCTGGACATGGAAAACTAAGAGAGACTATTCATGTCTATTTGAAAAGGTAATATTATAAGGAGAATTTTCAGTCTGCAGAACTTCAGTTTTGACAGGTTACATTCAGAAATGGATTTGGTTGTTAAATGTGTCTTCAATGTCATGAAATCACAAGTGTTGAGTACGGGAGCATGAAGATTACTGTCTTACCAGCTACCTCTGCCCAGGGCAGCGCGATAAAGTGTTTTGAAGATTGGAAGCAGCATTCTGTATAAATTGTTTGAATTGAAGATGGGTCTAAGCCAAAGTCAGAGACATTATTTCTTGCTCTTATATTCATAACTACAAAAGAAGAAAGATTAGCAGTAAACATAAAGTGCTACGAAGTCAGTGGTGATATTTTGCACATACAATACATTTGGATTAAATTTAGTATTTTTGATTGAAGCAAGTGCGCCAGGTGACTTTACAAGATAACCATTTGACCATCTCTCTCTTAATTTACTAGAAATGGAGAGCCTTCAGACTCTGGAAGGAAGATGTTGAGGTCCAGAGGAGCTGAGTCCGTACTACCCTTGCAGAATAGGCAGGTGAAGAATCCTCCCCAGGACTGAGCTGCCTTCTGTTTTCCATCCAGCTGGCGCAGGCACAGCCCAAGCACAGTGCTGTTTCTGTGGGCACCAGGTCAGAAAGTACTTACGTATATGGTTAAGGTCTTCACAGAGTTAGGAATGGTTCTGTCAGCTTGAAACCTCAAGGTAAATTTCTGCTTCCTTTCCAGATGAGAATCTGTCTAAAAAATTTGTCCTTTGCTTAAAACTATCCATATTGCTTCTGAATCTAGAACTTAGAAGTAGTAGAAACATCAGGCATGGACACAAGATAGAACAGAAAGTCAGAGACATTGTGTACCTGATAAACTAGTACGTTTTGTGTGCTAAGTGGGAGGTTAAGATGAGATGGAGAGGGGCAGACATCATTCTCCAGTGAAGCCACTTGGCATAAACTCACAGTTTTAGAGGACATGTCCTGCATTCTGTACCAGGTTATATTCTCCATCACAATGGGGTTTGTATTTATTCAAGATTTCTATTGTATCTTCAGTTTTTAGTTTAGCTGAGTGAGCTTTAGTTTCTTTCCTGGAATGGAAGGGATGTAAACAAACTACATCCTATGGTGGGGAGTATAATGACCTCGTTATAACTGCTCCGTACCAGTCTGTTGCAGGCAGTGTCTCATTTCGAAGTACTGGGCCAAACCCATCTGTGGGATAACTGAAAGGGCTGATCAGGTGACCTCTGCTAGGCATAAATTTGCATTATTAGATGTATACTTTTTGGCATGTTCAGGCAGCATGTTTTGGTTAAATGCCACCCACTTTGATACTTAGCCTAAACTTGAGAATACGGTGTTTTCTGGTCCACACGTGCTGGTGGGAATCACTGTGTGTGCGCCAGAAAGCAGCCAGGTGAACGTGGATGGACTGACTGATGCTGCGCCTGGGCTCACTGGCGCCACACAACACTCTGGCGATTGGTCTGTTTACGTAGCTGGCCATTTTCAGAAGGGAATGGGCAACCTCTTTGGGATGCTTTCATGAACCTGGGAGCATGCTGCCAATCCAGCCATTCCAGGGAAGAGGTTCCCATCATAAAGATGGCCTGGGGTATCTGAAAACACTCCTGAGCCTCCCATATCTGGAGGATGATGCGGTGTCACTAGTGGGTATTAGGACTAGGGGCCCAGAACTGGTGTGATGTCATGGTCTGATGTGGAGATACTCTCAAAACTGCAGACAGCAGTTTGCCTCATGAATTCCATGAGGCCTCAGGAAATCTCACCCGGAGGCAGTACACTTCATACGGTGACGCTAAAACCTGGTGCTGAGTAACAGTGGGGATAGGACAGTTTTGGAGAACTGAGAATGGTTACTTCAGTCACCTTGTGTATTGGATAAAAAATGGGCACTGTCAAGAAATCTGAGTGCTTTCTGAACTCATCTTGGTCCTTAAACCTCTGTGAGTATCTGGAGCTGGTACGTAGATTACAGGAAGCATGTATAGAGCCAGGGTTTTCAGATACATGGATAGAACAGGCAGCAGCCTGCGATTCAAGACACTGATAAGGCCATCCATTTTTTTAGTCCTTCCCCAAAATTAAAGTGTATATGAACAAGGCTGCAGCTTTTTGAAAATCCATGGAGTGAAGGCTTTTTTGGTGCATAATCTGTTGTAAACTTCAATTTATTCCAATGCTGATTACTCTCAGTGCTTAAAACCAAGTATTTCTGGTTGATGTTTGTCTAACTTCACTTTCATTTCATGTGTTATCTGACTGCTCAGTTGAAAGGCCTCTTACCACACAAGTTCTCTCTAATAAACGTGGTCACAGCCTTCTCTCCGACATCCTACATGGATTAAACCCCAAAAGTCTCTCTTTTAAAAACATTTTATACATTCCTGGAGGTCTCCTGTGAAGCTTATAATGTTTCCAGTGACGTTCAATAAATGAGGGCACCAGGAGCAGTTGCAGCATGTCAGGGGCAGTTATCGCAGTGGAAAGCATGGACATGACATGATTTGTACCAGACTGTGTTTATGTTTATAATGTGAGGGCATGTAATCTTTTTGGCTGCAATATTTGC